GTATTTTATGTAAGTACGAAACGTTGTCTATCCTCCAGTTTTCAACGACAAACAATTTCCGCCTGTTAACCCCTTTTATTATGTTCCATTTCTGTTTATAGATATTGGCTAAGTAGCTCTCAGCGTACAACAATTTAGTGAAAATATTTTTTACAGCAAATCCAAGTGATGCATTTGAATTTTAAAAGTGGATAAACAGCAAGGCCTTTTGTTTGGGCAACTAACTGTGCGGAATAATATTCCGCTTTTTCTATTGAAAGCAGGCATGCAAATTTTGCGCTTAAGAGGTTCAGGTTTGCACATTTCAGTTTAATTGCAATACTTGAAAATCAGGAATAAGCCACCAACAAATAAAGCATTAAAGTGAAATTTCCAGTTGATAATATTATTGAGAAATATTCTATTGCATTTAATTGTGTCCAAAATTTGGTTGGAAAAAGAAATAAGTGAAAGTATTATTATAATGATTTGCACTCTATAACGATACCTATAGAATCTTAAATAATTTATGAAAAAATATTAAATTCTTTAGTCTTATCATAAAGCTAATGAAAATTAATATATTTTTATTATTTAAATAAGGGATGGGCACGATCGATTACACTCCTCAGGATGAACTTAAATATAAAAAAATGAAAATTTAATTCATGACTGATGAGGGAAATCATCAAAAAGTACTATATTATAGATAAAAAATATATTTAAAGCAATATAAGACAATTGCTTGTTCATTGCCTGTAAAAGCTGAATATATTTTGTTCTTATTTTATTTTTACGAATAACTCTAGGGATTAGTTTTTATATTAAGAGTTAGTTCAACATCGGAAGGTATGCTTGTCTGCGAACAATATCTCTTGCTTATGGCTATGTTGTATAAGCTACTTAAGGCATATTTGAATAAAAGGTAACCTGAGACACTAAGACTATTATTGATGTGACTATTAGTAGAATTCATGGCTAAGGCATCGAGGTTATCCAGCGTATATTTGATCTTCTCGAGTATTGGCGAAGAATAGAATATGATTATAAATGGAAAAGAAGCATTTTGAATCAAAAGGATAGAAATAAACTTGAAACACGTTCTTATAATAGGAAGATTTAACATTTCATCCGCAAATTACGCAGAAATAGTGAGCATAAAATTCGTCAAGGGTGCAGAGGTAGTCGAGGCGTGATAGTGTGGTGTAAATTCTCAATATGTTAACTACTACGCCACATTGCCACGAATGCCCTTGGGACACTGAATTAATGTTAATTTTAAGGAAATTTAGGGATTGTTGATAAACCAAAGTTGCATTTGCAATAGCACTCTACTAGATCACTGATATTTCATTCATAAGTAGGTTTTTGAGACTAACAGTAGATCATATATATGAGTTATATCCATCCTATTTCGGTAAGGCCCGTTATATTTTCCAACAATGATATAAGGAAGCCTTGCATTTCCATCGAATTTAATTAGAATGGATATACCTCATACACATATGACCTACTGACAGTCTCATCAGCCTACTTATAAACGAAAAATCAGTAATCTAGTCGATTGATACAGCAAATAACGGCATTCCCACCACAGAACGTGATATCGCCTTTCTTGAAATTAACATTTGTTCTGTGGCCCAAGAGCACTCATAGTTGTCAACTAGTCGAGCTAACATGTTGCACCATCATGGGTCGAGTCCCGCCTGGAGGAGAATACATTTTGGCAACTGAGGCTAGGTGAAATTCGATGAAAACGTAAGGTCTACTCATATGATTGTGGAAGAATTCAACTACCTCCTCAACGAGAAAGAGTGAATACATCTCATATATATGATCTATTGGTAGTCTCGAAATCCTACTTACAACTGATAGATGGAGGGGGTATAAATGAAGAAATAATAATGGAGAATTTTAACTTTCATTTGTTCTCAAATCTAACGTCAATGCCTTGTTCAACTACATGATTCACTCGTTTCACAGCACAATTAAGTCGTTAACTCGAGAGCAAATTTTAAACTATTATATGTAATTAACCTTATTTAGGTGAATAATATGCAAATCCCAGTTTAGTCTTCTGAAATTCACAGCTTTCTGTATTATGTTAATGGCTACTTTTCCATAATTTTTTTTCATTAAATTCTTATGTTTGAATGTAATTCGTGCTATGTAGTATGTATGCAAGAGTACTCGGACAAAACGATGCATTATATTATTTCCACCAGTTTCCATATACATTTGCGTGTTCTCATGGATTAGAGAAATCAGAGGTCACTTGAGCTATAGCCCTTACAGTGGAGAAGCTGGTGAGCAGACGGGAAAAAGGAATGTAGATTTAATAGTGCACCATATTAGAGCGCTAAAATTTATTTCTCAGTAAAATATTTCTACGCATTGTTGACAAATAATGAACTAAGTGCATTCCACTCCCGTCGAAAGTCGGCCATGCAACATGAGATGCTTGAAATAAAATAAACTAAACTGATTGTTATGGACAGATTACGACAAAAGACGTATGATTTGTACTCCCGCCCGTACACTAAGAGCCTAGCTTCGACCAAGTCATCGAACATTTTAGACACAACCTCTTTTTTCCCTGTGCTGTATCAGCTCAAAAGTGCATGCTTGATGGCTTTATCAAAATAAATGGGTAGAGTTTAATTGGAAAAAATGACACTCACCGACATATTGGCGTATTCCGATCAGCCCGATGAACAGGAACATTAGCACTCCAGTGAATTGGTAATTCAATCTGTCCGCAAAGTCGTCATCAAAGCGCAGCCGACTCGAGCCGATTCGACCCAGCTTGCTCAGCTTCCAGACGAACGTAGCGTCCATGGCGTCGCTGTGACCACCGCCAACACCGTGACCACCGTGTCCACCAGCGTGAGCCACACTGTGACCGACCGAATGAAACGCTGTTCCGCCGATGAGATGGGCTACCGCAGAGTCGTGTCCACGATATCCACCAACACCGCCGCCACCCCCGCACCCAGCAGCGTCGCCTCCTACGTCTGAAGGGCCGAGACCTTCTCGACCGCCGCAGCTAAAGCCGCTCGTGTGGCCGTCGAAGGCGGAGTGCCGCTGTTGCTCCTGGTGGTGACGACCTTTGCCTCCAAAATGATTATTATCTACAGATGGTCGAAAAAACAGGAGAGCAGTGGTAAAAAAGAAGTATTAGAGAGCGTTGCTAAGCTTTCATAAGTCCAATAGGTTATTTACAACAAGAAGATAGGGCGAGAATTGGTCTCTAGGCCCGATTTAGACACACTTATTCCTCACAAGCTAGCTTAGCGCGGTCCTTTGTCGGTTCCGCTTCGTCATATCGTGAGTAAAGAAATGATAAAAAATAAATCTACAATGACTCAACTGCTCAAAATGATACGAAGTTGATACAAGATGTAGGAGTAAATTGTAGCAGCATCTTCGTTGTTCTTATGGATTTACAACAAAATACTCATGAAGTGCCTCTTCAAACTGACAAGTGCTCACATCCTGTTATCAAGATTGATGGCTTATAAAAGGGGACTTGGAAGGGTAGAAAGACATACACGGAAAAATGGAGACAGAGTTAGATTTACATTTTGGGAGCAATGAAATCTCGAAATAACTAGTTCCATCAGTCTTGTTGAGCTCTCGACTACTATAAGACTATCACTAACATAAGCTTTATGAGGGATCATTTCGTGGAAGAAAGGAGGAATATAATATTGAAATGGATTGAAGCACATTTTAGGCTAATCTGGTTTGGGAAAGTTTAGAGATCCGACATGAGCCAATAGAACCGTATCAAGGAAACGGGAAAGCAGAAGAAAGCATTCATAACACTAGGCAATATTGCATCTTTTTAACTTTCCACTTGAATATCGCCCATTTTATTTTTCCTAACAAAATATGGGAATCGCATCATTTTTTACGACTACACACTCTTTTTTATCCCCCAGACTTTCCGTAACTTAGCTTTACATCAGTTTATTTAGGGCCAGAGTGATCAATTTCAAGCTGGTTTTAGTTGAGGGGTTTTAGTGGCATCGTTTCATCGTGAACATATACGCTATCAGTTCTCAAATTCTACTTAAGGAACCTATGTTGCCGAAAGTTCTTATTCACGAATTACCGATAGTCTCGAAACACACTCACATAGAAAACTAATTTCATAAGTCACAAATGACAGCAGCATCCATACATGGTCTTGACACGCCACTGTCTCGATTAATTGGCACATTTTCATTTTAATTCTGAAATCACTCTACAAAGGATACGATGTACTTAAGGTGATGCAAAGGCCTCAGAATGCCATAAAATTTGACCTTTCTTGCCTCCCGAGGGATTGGACATTCGAATCGGATTGCCAATTTCGCCTCATTCTGGTCTAGTCTGCATCAAAAACGGTATCGGAAATTACGCAAAGAATCAGAAAAGCGGGAAATTCTTGAAATTCCCATCTCTTTTGTGATCAGTCAGCACTCATGGACGTGTGACAGAATGGTCGTTCTGCTTTAATTCATTATGAGGAGATTATGAAATAACGAATAAAAATTCCAAGAGAAAGAGTGATGTGGGAAATGTGTGAGCTTAGGGATTCTGTTGATGGTCAAGCTGACGATGAGGACATGCATAGATTGAAGAACTATGAGCTAAGAGAATTGATATACAGATTTGTATTAGAAGGCGATAGTCTGACATTATTCAGGGAGTAAAATGTAATAGATAGTTGATTGGTAGTTCAAACGGAAATTCGTCTTCAGATCCTTGAGCTCCTAATTTCCAACCTATTTAGAACCCTTAATGAATGATGATAAATATTAAATAAGTTTTGAAATAGGAAGAAGATATTAAATGAGAACTCTGGTCACCTTGGGTCGCTTTAAGGAATGCAATAGATGGTAGTTGAATTTTTAGTCATGAAATGAGTAGAATGTCTGACGATTACTTTGAATTTTACTATTCAAGCCTCCAAAATGTCCTATACTTCAAGCTAAAAGTCATTTTCAATATCATACTCGCATCAAACTCAATTAAATCCATGGAAAGGCAGAGTTGTCTTACTGTCACACGACCAGTAGTGCTGGCTGATATCAAGAAAAACGGGAATTTCATGCAAATTTACACGTTTGCGATTCAATGGAATGCATGACGCGATTTAGAATCCCGCTGTTGATGCCGACTAGCCCAGAATGAGGTCAAATTGTCAATCCAACTCTCATGCGAACTCCCTCGGGGAAGCAATGAAAGTGAAATTATATGCATTCTGAGGCCATCGTAGACACCAAACCGCCAGTCCTTGCATCACCTTGACATCATAAATAAAGCAAAAATCTATCACTTAATCCAGACAGTGGCTTGTCAAGACCATGTATGAGTGATGCAGGTATTTGTGACTTGTGAACTTTATTTTCTATGCAAGTGTGTTTCGTGGCTATCAGTCAACCAAACACTTTCGAAGTGAAAATGCTACAAAGAAAAGAGTAGACCACTTAATCTCAATTATCCCTGACTGACAAAGTGCTTTATCATCTGGCATAGACTGCAGTCACACACTCGCCTATGCGTCAGCAGCCCCTCGGAATTAATACAATCCACGAGTTCGAGCATCATGTGGGCCTAATGCTACCACTCCGCTAGACAGTGACGGATGCTAATGGGTCACAGATCAGATTCAACTTGCACAAGGAGATAGGTTTCGCCCCAAATCACATTTTAGTGGGAGCTGCTATATGGTTCGTAAAAATTGGGGTAAATATTTCTTTTCGTTATGTCTATCAGTAATTTCCGAATAATTACTTCAGTTATTTTGCTGAAAAGCAACAAGTATACTTCATGATTTCATTAAATTTCACTTAGAATTGACCTCCAAGTAGTCTGGACTTTGAAACTGATATTCATAAAGGACATTTTGCGGATGGGCTTGGAGTCTTGCAAGACAATACTATAATTAATCAAGGAAGCACGTAAAGCCCGCTGTTTTCAGTATTTTCTTCGAGTTGGCGGCCTTTCGATAATGAATGACAGAAGAATGGGATGACCAAGTAGCTCATCTTCCATCATACAAATCAGTAGCCTTCACAATACACATCAGCATTCAGGCAAAGATGAGATACCTTCTGTCCATTAGGCATCTGATTGTCGGAAGACGCATTCTTAAATAACCTCACATAACCTAAGTTAATAAAGATTTTACTCTACTTAATAAGCGAGTAAATAATACCGACAATTTTAATGGCAAACATATAAGTTGGAAGAGGCCTGGCCTCGTGGAGTGTTAAACTCGCAACAAGACTCACGAGCCGGTACCGAATCCCATTTCAGACGATGATGTGCCGGTGAAGCAAAAGAGAAACTAAATTCTATCTTAAATGGGATAGTTTTTTTTAAGGCAAAGTTAGGTGAAATTCAGCAGCATCCTGTGTCATATTCATTCAATTATTCGCCCTTAAATCCCATCAATCAATCTAGACTGACTAAGTTCTTATTAAAGAATTACTGATAGTTTTGAAAGTTATATCTGAAAGACTGATTTTTTCAGCTTAATTCGAAGCTATCTCGTCTTGGAACGCAACTGTACTTCGAAAAGTACCACTTGCTTTCAATATATCTTTCACTTAACCAGTAATTATGACTTCGATAGGTATTTTAACTTTTATTTAACCTTGGACCTTAATCATGCTATATCTGGCTTGAGGCAAAGGTAATGGGAAAAGAAGATGTCCATGCATGT